TTCATAGTGCGCGTCCTGAGAGTCAGAGAACACGTGCCTGCCGTGTGTAATGAATAAACTTATTCAATGGGGTCCTTCGGGGGGGGCATCCGTTAAAATTGGAACGATACCCAAAAGCTTGATGAGCATAATTGCCCTTGCGCAAGGATGACACGTATAAATCAAGAAATGGTCCCAAAAAGTACCAAAATAAAACAAAATGTGCTTGAGAGAGAGAGAGAAAGGGGCGTGGACTCGCGCATGTGCCTGTACGTGTGCGTGTGACTCGGTGTGAGTGTAAGTGTGCTAGACAGAGGCGTGGAAGGGTGTATGTGCCTTTTATTATTATTATTATTATTATTATTATTATTTATTATTATTTTTCAGTCTTCATCTGTTGATTCACAGTGACATATGCTGTCGTCATAAAAAGGCAGAGAGGGAGGAGGGAGAAGAGGGCAACAAACGAGGGGCTGTGACAAACTGTGTCGTCGGAGTTTATATATATATATCGTCACAAACAGAACTGCCCGGTAAACCGTAGGCAGAGAGAGAGAAGAGGACAACAAACGAGGGGCTGTGACAAACTGTTTCGTCGGAGTTTCACCGACTCATCAGGAGGCTATATATATAAAATTATAAATATCCTATTATAAATATATAGTATCAATTATAAATATATAATAATGGAGCATATGCATTTAGATCGTACGTACCATTAACAAACAGCAGCTTCTCCAACGACATGGAGACGTGCACTGGGATCGAGACCGAGGGAGTGGTGTACAGAATCTGTCCCGACAACGGCAGCTTCAAATTCCCGGCTAGCGACGGTTGCTCTTGTAGTGGATCGCCGGCATCCGTCCCGACCCCGACCAGCAGAACCAACATCCACAGGACGATGACGCCGACGTTGAATGGCACGGCCGCTCCCGTCGGACGTGACATTTTTCTTGTCAACAAATGTTTGTATTCGAATAGTACTGAGGGTGGTGCCCAAACACCGCCGAGCCAGACGCCGGTGACGGGCACGAATCACCACGGCTGCATGCATGCACTTACCCGCATCTGCGTCCCCATTCAGTCTCGACATGCAAATCTGGCATCAAGTTCCATCAACCACGACAACAGCAACCGGGATCGATCGATCGATCGTCGACACGCTCATGCACACACAGAAGTGATGGCGCTGGTGACGACAGTCATTGATGCCCGTGGGTGTGTGTGTGTGTGACAGAGCGAGCGAGCGAGAGAGAGACAGACAGAGAGACAGACAGAGAGACAGAAGCGTTCGAGTGTGTATGTGCCTATATGTGTGCGTGTGGCTGTAAGTGTCCTTGAGAGAGAGAGAGAGAGAGAGAGAGAGAGAGAGAGATGCGTGGACACCGTGTATTTGTGTGTAACTGTGTGCGCGTGCGCGTGCGTGTACGTGTGCCTGTTTTTAGAGAGAGAGAGAGAGAGAGAGAGAGAGAGAGAGAGAGAGAGAGAGAGAGAGAGAGAGAGAGAGNTTTGTGTGTAACTGTGTGCGCGTGCGCGTGCGTGTACGGAGAGCGAGAGAGAGAGAGAGAGAGAGAGAGAGAGAGAGAGAGAGAGAGAGAGAGAGAGAGAGAGAGAGAGAGAGAGAGGGGGGGATGCGTGGACACGCGTGTATATGTGTGTGTAACTTCGTGCATGTGCGTGTACGTGTGCCTGTTTGTTGTGTGTGTGTGTCACAGTGTCTGTGTGTGAGTGTGTGTGTGTGTGTGTGTGTGTGTGTGTGTGAGAGAGAGAGAGAGAGGGATGCGTGGACACGCGTGTATATGTGTGTAACTGTGTGCGTGTGCGTGTGCGTGTGCGTGTACGTGTGCCTGTTTCTTGTGTGTGTGTGTGTGTGTGTGTGTGTGTGTGTGTGTGTGTGACACAGAGAGAGAGAGAGAGAGACACACACACACACAGAGAGAGAGAGAGAGAGAGAGAGAGAGAGAGAGAGAGAGAGAGAGAGAGAGAGAGAGAGGCGAAAACGATTGCCGTTAGCGCGCCTCCGAGTGTGTGTGGCGGTGGCGTCTCAGCGTCCGCACTCTCTTAAGGATCGACAGGGAGACAGAAGAAGACTCTAAGGGAACACGGAAGAGGAAGAGGACATACTACTGGCCTCGACACAGCGGTGGACGACTACCTTGTACGACCGCCTGGCAGTGTTCTGAGGGATTTATTATCCCATTACTTTATTACTTAATCAATTGATTAGTTAATTAACCATTACTTTATTACTTAATCAATTGATTAGTTAATTAATTAATGAGTTATATGGCTGTTTCTACATCGGATACTACTACATGGCTGTCCTTTGGGACCACCTTTAGAATTGGAACGATACAGAGAAGCCTGGTTAGCTTAGCTCCTGCGCAAGGATTGGGAAAAAAAAAAAAAAAAAAAAAAACATGGCTGTGACTGGCACTGACTGCATCGGCTACTTACTCCATTTATCCATTTATGAAGAGAGAGAGAGAGAGATCGCCAGGGAGAAAGGTTGGCCCGATTCTTGCAGGATGTGTGGGTTACCGAAGAGAGGTTGCCTCCATATGTCGTGCCACCTGTTCGGAGGATGTTTTCGTTGGGGGCCCCTTCGTCTCCAGAGTTTAATCATAAAGGGCCAGAGCGGATCTGCCTTTATGTCCTGCTTTGTTGCCTGTACAGGGTCAGGCTGGTAAGCGGGCTGCATTTGTTTGGGGGGTGATGGGACAGTCCAGTAATTATTTGTCAGCCATTGAAGCGGGTGGACCTTCGCCGGTACATCGGTTTGAGGGGCAAGGTTAGCCAGTTGCAGGCTGGCAAGCGGTACCCAGGGGATATCATTTCCTATAAGCAGACGGACGAGGACTTTGAAGAAGAGTGCGTCAGCCTGTGTTTCCGGATCGAGGATACCGAGCCCCCCTTTAGTTCTGGGCTGTAGTTCTGGGCTGTGTGAGGACGTCCCAGTTCACCCTGTTGAGACAGCCCTGAGCCTTTGCGCCGTTTTTTCAAAGGTATGTCGTAAGGGCCTTCTTTAGTCTGGTGTGCTGCTGCTTGGTCAGCGGTCAGACTGCCAGTTTATACCAGATGGCCGCAAGGATGGCACTATTAATTGCTAGAGCACGTCCCACCAGTGATGTGTGCAGGCCCTCCCAGTTGGGCAGGAGGTCCACGACCATATTGACCAACCTGTCTCCATGGTCCGAGGGCGGGCCCTCCGCAGTCTGTCGCACCCCAAGTATCCTGATGGCGTCCTCTTTGCGGGCCCATGTTACACTCGGCTGAGGCGGGGGTGGGTGCCCTTGAGGGTGGAGCTACCATCCCTCAGTTTTGGAGCTCCAGTTGACCTTCATGTCTGCTRCAAGTRAGAATAGGTGGATAACATGGGCGAGAGCGTGTACGCTGTCCGCGTCGGCGCGTATTAGCACGATTAAATCATCCGCAAAGAGCGATGTGACTGGTATGAGATGCTGTGGAATGTCCGGGATAGGCACTCTGTTGATGTTGGGGTGAGCTCTTATCATTGCGGCGAGGGCCTCCATGACAACCACAAACAACAACGGTGCAATAGGGTCTCCTTGGCGCACCGATCGTTGGAGGCGAATCAGCGGCGAGAGGTGGCCATTAAGCATTATGTTAGTCGTGGCTGACCTGTGCAGAAGCTGCACCCATTGGCAGAATCCCGGTCCGAAGTTCATTTTAAGCAAACACATATCGAGAAAGTCTCAGTCCACATGGTCATATGCTTTTTCGAAGTCGATGAAAAGAACCGCCGCTTGGACTTTTCGTTGTCGGGCATATTTGATGGTCTTGTTGACCAGCAGGATGTTATCCTGTATATTCCTATTAGGCATACACCCTGTCTGGTCTGGGTGGATCAGCACATTCATGAAGGGCAGCAATCTGTTCGTAAGGACCTTAGCCACCATCTTGTAGGGGACCGGGAGAAGTGTGATGGGTCTATAGTTTCTTATATTCTCTTTATCACCCTTCTTATATAACAGAGTGGTCACGCCCTGACCAATCATCCCTCCAAAGGAACCTTCTTTTTGCACCGCCTCTATATATTCCATGAGGTCGTCCTTAAACAGGTTCGAGCATCGTACCCAAAACTCCTTTGGGAAGGAATCAATTCTAGAAGTCTTTTCGTCGTCCATGTCTTGCAGGGCATTCCAGACCTCCTGAGAGGATATGGGCCCGTTCAAGGTGTCTCTTTGTTGCTGTGTTAGGGATGGTTGGACTGCCTGTAGAAGCGATTGCCTAGCTTGAAGTACTTGGTCCGGGTGTTTAGAGGGCGTTTCAGATGTGAATAAGTCGGTATAATATTTGGCCGCATAGTCCGTGACTGCATATGCATTGGTTGCTGGCTTGGCGTTGTCGTCCAGCGGGTGGTTAAGTCTAGGAACCGTGGCTGCTCTAGATCTCGCTCTAGCTTTTGCAAAGAATGTTTTGGCCATTGTCCCATCTGTATGTTGTTTTTTTATTCTAGCCTGCACTCTCCATGCATGTGCCTGCTGTTCGACATACTCTTGGAGGTGGTCACGGGCCTCTTGCAGCTTGCCATACGAGGGGCGGTGCAGTGGGTCATGCATCAGTGTGTCATCCCATTCTTCCAGCTTTTTCATGAGGCTTTCGAGGCACGCTTTACGGTGTCTCGCATGCTGGATGGAAAATTTTTTCACCCTTTCCCTTAGCTGCGCCACCCCGTCATTGAACTAGTTGACTCTCTCCCCAAAAATAGGTTTCTGGGTCTGCCAAAATTCCCAAAAATCATTGACCAATTTCGTAAAGTTGGGCAGGGGAAGCAAGGAGCAATTGAGCTTGTAAAACCCTGACCCTCGCTGGATGTGGCTATGAAATGACAGGCCCAATGTGATCATCCTATGATCGAACGACCTACAGGGGCTAATTGTCGTTATTTCCGCCGTCGTGACGAGACCCATCATATCCTTTGACACCAACGTCAAGTCAATTCGTGAGTTGGATAGGCCTTGCTCACCTCTAGACGACAGGCAGGTATAGGCTTGATGGGCAGGGTGCAGCTGCTTGTATGCATCCTCAAGTTGCCTATCTGCCATGAGTTGTTTGAGGAAGCAAATGTCCGGGGTCTGGGCAAACAACGAAGAGGAGGCAAGGTCCTGGTGTGTACTCGTGGATCTTCTGTCCAGCACCGGGTCCAGCGTGGTATTGAAATCTCCTGCAAGTATAAGAGGGGCGTCTTCGGGTAGGGCTTCATGGAGGGTGAGCCAGAAGTCCACCTTGGCGACGCTATCATTGGGTGCGTACACGCTAACCAGGTAAAAAACCTCTTCGTCGTATTGCAGTTTCAGGCATATCCACCTACCGTGCAGTTTGTCATGTTGAACCTCCAAAGGTTTCAATTTTGAGGACGGCGGTAACCATATTGCGACACCTGCAGACGCCCTTTCTATTGCAGGCGCAGCGTACAGTGTGTATGGCCAAATCGCTTTTGCCTTTGCATTGTGTGGTGGTGTGTCTTGCAGGTGGGTTTCTTGGATGCATATTGCTTCCGGCCATGATCTGTTTTCCGGGGACCTAAGCATATCCCATATGGCGTCTTTCTTCGACGTCGTCGCTTGGATAAGGTCGTTGACATTTAACGAGCGTATGTCAATATCTTCTTTTTCCAATTTTGTCAGCCAATGGGGCTTCCTCCTAATCGGGGGGGTCGTGACAGGCGGCGGAGGGCACTGGGCGGGTTGGCAGTTTGTCATGGCGGTAGCTTGATGCGGTGTCTGTCCGGTCGGATTTATAGTTCACTGTGTTTTTTTTTCCAAACGTGTGTATATGGTTTGGGGCAGCACTGCCCCTCGGACCCCTTCCAGTTGTGTCTCCCTATGCCAATACTTAAGGCGTTTTAAGATAACTGTTGTAGAGGGGCGGCCTCTCCATCCCTCCACCGTGAGGCCGTCCGGGTCCGGGGAGTGGTGCTGGGGGCGATCGGGGGGGGGTCTGAGACCTAACATCCACTGACCTCCTTCGTTTTGTCGGGTTATTGGTAGTATGATCACTCCCGGTGGCATATGGTTTGGGGTGATATCATCGGTCACCAGTCTGACCCGATCCCGCAAGATTCCCTTGGGGGGCTGATCCTGTTCATCATTCTCTGAGCGGGATGACCCGTCATCTTCGTCATCATGCAGAATTGTAACTGTCCGGGGACCCCGGGACGATGTGGCCTGTTGATTAGCATCCGACGGTTGCGGTTCCCATGTAAGGAGTTGGCTCTGACGTTGGGCGGGGACCGCGGTCTCTGGGCCATGGAGGGTGGCACAGAGTTCGTGGACCAACAGTTTGGGCCATGCCAACCCTTCGTGGTGGAACGCCTCTCCAATAGTCGAGCCTTGCAGTTCCTGATTGTGGCCAAATCTGGTTTCTGCATATTGTTGTATTTTGTCCAGGAATTTGTTGACCACCAGGACTATTGCCGCACCCACATCCATCCAGTCTATACTATGTACATTGTTGTACTTTTCTACTGTGGCTAGAACCCGTGGGGTGAACATGAGGACCTCCTTAGCCTGGGCCTAGTACCGCGTGGCAAGTTTGGTTTGCGATCCATCCTCTGCCATGGAAAAGATCTTAGTCAAGGTCCGTTCAGTGAGGAAAGCCAATTTTTGTTTGACTTCTTCATCGTGTGCTAGTGGGGGAGGGGGGGGAGGTGGGCTGTCTGGCGGTAACAGAGCCATAACTTGGGTCATCTCAGTATCCTCTCCCCTTGGGCCCGCCTCCAAATTGCGATATTGCGTTGTCTGTTGCCCCTCGTCCGGGGCCGAGATGTCCATATCTTGTGCATTCTGTGCGTTCTGTGCACCTGCTTTGTGAGGCGAGGGGCCAAGTGCAGCTATCTGGGGGCAGTGCACTGTGTGGCTCTACTGTTGTTGTCGTTTCTGCATTTCCATCTCTTGCTGCCAAAAGTGTTGGAGCTGCTGCTGCTGTTGCTGCAAGATACGTTCCTGTTGGCAGCAGAGCTGTTGTTGCCACTGCAGATGCAGATGCTGCAGTAATTGGTTTTGTGCAAGGCCCTTTGTTGATGTTGCTGGTGGTGGTACTGTGCCAACTGCGCTTGCAAAAGGAAGCGTAGTTGGTCAGCACAGTCTGAGTTGTGTTGCATCTGTTCGTGGACCGCATTGTGCTGCACGTTTTGCTCGATCTGTTGCAGCGGAAGCGGCTGTTGTTGCTGCTGGTGCATCACCACATCTTGGAGATTCGGAGCTGCCATCATTTGTTCTTGTTGCTGTTGGTGCATCACCACTTCTTGGAGATTCGGAGCTACCATCATCTGTTCCTGTTGTGCCATCTGCTGGTGTTGGTGCATCGTTAGCAGCTGTTCCGGCAGCTGTTCCTGCAGAGGGCGGTGCTGGTGTTGTTGTTGCAGCTGATGTTGCTGTTGTTGATGTATCAGCATTTGTTCCTGCTGGTTTTTCTGTTGAGGTTGTTGTAACATCATCTGCTGCTCCATGTGTTGTGGCAGGAGCCCAACCTGGTGTTGCGGCTGCTGCATTGATTGCGGTTGGAGTTGTAAGGGCTGCACCTGCTCCACTTGTAGATCGGGTTGGTGCCCCATCTGCTGTGGCTGGTCCTGAGCTTGATGCTGCTGTTGATGAATCATTTGCGGTTGTGTGATCCGCAACTGCTCGACCTGATGGGCGGGTTGTTGTGCGTTGTGATGCTGCTGTTGCAGCGTCTGTTGTAGGTGTTGATCGAGTTGCAGCAACGAGTCATGGTGTTGCATCGCGCAGGGTTTATGTTGTTGAAACATGGGCTGTTGTTCTTGCTGCTGTTCTTGCTGATGTTGTGGTTCTCGGATTTGGTGATGGTGTTGCAACAGTATCCCGTTTTGTGGTTGCGACATCGTGTGCTGCTCCTGCGGTTGTCGGGGATGCTGTTGTGGCTGTTGGAGCCCTGGCTGTGGCAACATCAGCTGTTGCAGTTCTGAGGGATGGTCCTTGAACTCGATCTCTTGCGTTTGTTGGGGGCGCTGCCCAATTACAGCATCATGTTCGAGCTCCAGCTTCCGGGTTAGCAGCAGTTCCTGCTGCGGTTTTCCAGGTACATCGGGAGGCAGAAATTTGGCTTCCCCCGTCACTTGCGAGATCACCATTCTCCCGGCAGGTCGGCCAGGGTCTGGCGGAGGGCCATGAGATGGGGAAGGCTACAGGCGGGAAATTTGCGCTAGTGCTTCGCGGCCCGCGGCCAGCAAGGACTGCCCGCCAGCTACCGCGCTCGAGCCCCTCGGACGCTCTGTCTCTCGGGCCGTGAGCACCGTCGTGCCTTGGTCGCGCTGACCGATGTGGACATGCCACGTGGATCACGTTGGGTGCGCTGACGCCACGCGCAGCCATCGCAGCCACTGCGGAAGCAGACAAGGAAAGGCATCGACGACTAAGGGAAAGGTGCATGGAAATCATGCGGCGAAGAAGACAGCGGTGATGCAACGAAAGGGCCTGAGATGATCGACATCGAAGACTGTGTGGGATTGCAAGGAAGCGACAGGGTGGTGGAACAAGGGTGTTGGGAGGGGTGAGCGCTTGCAGACGGATGAAAGTGGGGGTTCGGCTTTGGCGGGCGTGAGTCCGCCATCTCAACACTGGCTCGTCACAGGTGCTGGCAAAGGTGAGTGGTGGAAGACCGCAAATTCGTCACAGGCGCTTGCAAACCGCGGGTGGGAGAATTGGACAACAGCCGGGATGGTGAGGCTATCGAGCGGGAAGAGGGAAGTGCGTCGGCGAGGCAACTGCCGAAAGTGGTAGGTGCGGCCCGGGCTTGGCGGAGGTAATACCGCCTGCCCACCGGTGAACGTAAGATCGCACATGGAGACTGCCCTCGGATATGAAGCGATCGCTTAGAGCGGACCACGGGTGACAGGAGGAACGAAGTATGGAGATGAGGGGGCATCAAAAGAGAGACACCTACCAACGTTGTAGACCGCTGCAACCTACGAAATGATATGCGAAGAAAGGGAAGCAACACGCCCGACTATGGCGGGGAGAACCTAGACTGGCGTTGAGGGCGATCGAGATTGATCGTTGTCCAGGAGCAGCGACCCAGCAGAATCGCGACACTAGTGGAACACGACTCTCCAAACGCTTAGCGGTTTGCATCCCCGTTGCCACCCTGCATGTCCCCCACCCCCTCCCCCTCCTTGTCCCGTGGTGTGACTCTAATCCCGAAATCCGTTACCAGCAAGATTTGCCATAGATTCCTTGTGCTACGTTTGTGCTTCGCCTCCTCTTCCCTTCCATCGCCCCCCTCCTTCCCTCACTTCTATTCCCCTGCACTCGCCTCCCCGAACAACTGATCGGATAGACCAGCACACTCGTGGAGACAAGCAATAACGCCTCCCCCCATCCACACCATCATCCACCTGCACAAGACTGCCGGGTGATGGAGATGCGGAAAAATGGGGTTGATCAAGTGTCCCACCGGCCAGCTCCCCTGCCGAACTCAAAGAAAAAAGACACGGGACCTCACGAACAGACTCTGCACAATCACGATCCACGGCCACAAAGTGAGACAAAAAACAATGTCACCCAACACGATGACAGCCAAACGGCGCATGCACAACCAACACAACAGGAGACGACAAGCGGCCCGCCCCGACAGAATGATGCTCGGCCAACACACAAGCAAAACACAAAAACATGGAAAGACAAAGTGACATCAGTCGGAGGTGGGGGAATCGTTGTTGCATCCCCGTCTTCCTCATCAGAGGGCGCGTACAAGCCGTCGCCCCAATTGCTCTGGGCACTATCGGCACCAGGACGAGCGAACACGGGTAGGTCGTCCTCCCTGGCCTCCATGGCTCCTCTCAAAAGCCACCTCATACAGCAATTATACGTTGAACCAGAGAGGAAATTTCAAGTTAAGCAGGGCTACATATACCTGCACTCGATCTTCTCGCCCCGCGCCCGGGCCACCTGAGATGGAATCTACATACATAGAGCTTTGCAATTTCGCTTCCAGACTATACACTGCTCAATTTCGGTTAACGAGAAAGTCAAATGGATCACGGAAAAGCTGGAGAAAATAAAGCCCGATCGTCAATTGGTTCAGGATCACTTCCTCATTGAGGTAGACAGCCCCGATTGTATTACGGTCGTCGCCCTCTACGCAGCAGATAAACAACTGCTCCTCAGAAACAATTGGTTGCAGTTCAGAGGCAAGCATGTGCAACTCTCCCCGCGGTCCCCCGATGATCCACAATCAACTGACGAGAAACGAGAATATCTTATGAAATCGAACTTCTGGGTGGAGTTTCGGTTCGCGCCCCTGTGTGTGCAAGGGGCCATCCTTGCTGATTTGGAGAACATTGCACGGGTCAAAGGCCACATTACGGACTTGCCCCATTTCCTCGGGAAAAGAGATGACTCGCTTTTGATTGCAGTGGAATGGGACCCGCAGTACCCCTTCCCTCTTAACGACGAATGGAGGTACTCCTTAGGGGGAAAAGAATTTTCAGTCCCGATCAGCCATGCTCAGGACCCGTGGTCACGGCGTGGTGCTATGCTTGCAAGCAGAAAGGGCACCTGTGCACAGATACTGAATGTCCAAAAAATGAGCGTAAAATTAAAATCAAAGGATTGGTAACCCCGCACCCTGATGATGAAGAGAGGTGGTACCCGGAAGAGAAGGAGCTCTGCGGCTGGATGTTTAGGGCATACACGGATGGCCGCCCAGGCCAATGGATATGGCAGGGGAAGGGCAAGCCTGCAGCATCTCCGGCTGGAGCCGAACTTGTAATCCCTGTGGATCGTAAACAAAAAGGCAAACAACAGGACATCCCGGTTCGGACAAAACCTGAAGCGGCCAACGGCAGGGCCCTGCAGATGGGGGACCAAAACACGGTCAGATGAACGACAAGGGTGCTGACAAACAAAACAAACATCCCCCGCTGCACGATCCACCGGTTGGCCCATCCAAACCGACGGTGACTCCCCATCACCAAATATACAAGCCCAAACCATCGAAGAGGCTTGATGGGGAGATACACGACAAACGACAGACGGATGCCCGGGCCCCTGGCAAGCAGAAGACGCAAGAAGACTCCCACCAAGGGGAGAAATGCAAAACTGCGGATGAACGACAGCAAGGGACTCTGCAATAGGGACAGGAGACCCCCCTGCCAAACCCCAATGAGAGAGTAGGGCAACTCTCGACTGAGCCTCAATCAGGGGCAGGCCGTCTACATCAACATGATGGAGCGTGGGGAACGGACGCAGCTCCTCTGCAGCATTTACATGGGGGCAGTGCCAAAGCAACCAAATCTGGGGAGGGCACCGAGAAGAAGCACTCGCTCCCCCCACAGCCTGCACGTGCAGTGGACACTGCGCCCGCCGCGCTCCCCAACAACTCCGAGTCAGGCCACTTCGCCTTGTCTCACCAACAGAAACAAGTGACCCCGTTCGCAAAAACCGACGGGGCTACACAGCAACCCCCGCTTGCGCCACAATCAGCAGCACGGCCACAGGATGCTGGATCTACCAGACGTCCAGTGGACATAGAACCCGCTCCGCTCCCCCCCAATTTGGAGACAGGCCACCATGCACACGCGAACAAGATGGGACCCCACACGGGAGCAACATCCAAGGAGGATGCAGGCAAAGGATTCAAACCCAGGGAGGTGTGGCTCAAAGCCAACTCCCTCCTCAATAAACTCAAAGACGCCACCTTCCCCCCAGCACCCGGAACCTCTGCTGCCCCATCAACAACAGCACGGCCATCTGGTATAAACTGGCGGTCTAGTCGCTGACCAAGCACCAGCACACCAGACTAAAGAAGGCCCTTACGACATACCTTTGGAAAAACAGCGCAAAGGCTCAGGGCTGTCTCAACAAGGTGAACTGGGACGTCCTCACACAGCCCAGAACTAAAGGGGGGCTCGGTATCCTCGATCCGGAAACACAGGCTGACGCACTCTTCTTCAAAGTCCTCGTCCGTCTGCTTATAGGAAATGATATCMCCTGGGTACCGCTTGCCAGCCTGCAACWGGCTAACCTTGCCCCTCAAACCGATGTACCGGCGAAGGTCCACCCGCTTCRATGGCTGACAAATAATTAMTGGACTGTCCCATCACCCCCCAAACAAACGCAGCCCGCTTACCAGCCTGACCCTGTACAGGCAACAAAGCAGGACATAAAGGCAGATCCGCTCTGGCCCTTTATGATTAAACTCTGGAGACGAAGGGGCCCCCAACGAAAACATCCTCCGAACAGGTGGCACGACATATGGAGGCAACCTCTCTTCGGAAACCCACACATCCTGCAAGAATCGGGCCAACCTTTCTCCCTGGCGACCAACTCCCCTTGGCTCACCTGGGTTAAGAAGTGGATCTTCACGATTGGGGACCTGTGGGACCCGGTGGCAGGGGAATGGGCAACCCCAACCCAGCTATAGCGTAAACTCAAATATGTCAAGAATGTGGAAGAGAAGGCTGACTTGTTAAAAGAAACCCTCCCCATCGCTTGGCACCTCACATTGAGGGAGGGATCGACAGTCCGGCGAGACGATTGGGTGCTGCGATATTCGGACTCCCCAACCCACCTGGTGGTGTTCAAGGTCAAAGACAACAAGCAGGGCACCTGTGAACTGGAAGCATATGAACCACAACTGCCACGAGCCCGGTTCACCAAACTGCTGAGAAACGATGACCTGGATACCACAGCCGCATGGGGAGGATTGATGCAGGTGAGGGTGGTGGGGGACCGGGAGAACGGGTATGATGCATATGAAACCACTATCCCTGTGGCCAAGCTCCCTTTCGACTTAGCGGAGTGGGAGTGGTCGGGGCCCAAACCAATGAACATTTGGAATTACACAATAAAAGGAGGCTACCGAACTTCGCGACAATCACTGCCGGTCACCCAAACAATAGCAAACAGATGGGTGCGGGACTCACCACTGGACCATAAACCATCACAAACATTCGACTGGTCCACATATGCAAGGATCATGCCCACAAACCACAGAGCGTTGCAATGGCAGATCCTGCACCGTTGCCTCCC